ATGGGTTTCTGATAAATCGGGCTATAAAAGTCCTATTATATAGACGATCTATGTAATAAGTGGAAATTGTTTGCAATGGCCATGTTTACGTTAACTTATGAAGCAAAATAAAGTTATTGGCAAAAACCGAGAAGCAGAAGTGGCTTATTAGGAAAGTTCGTGCAAAGTTTGAGGAGTATTAAGTTATTAAGGCCCCCTCCATACAGTATGGGCAGTGGTACCATATGTTTCACCATGTCAGTCGCTTTGACATTTATTAGCTAACCTTTTCACCATTATCCAAGTTTATTCCTATATTCCTATTTAATCGGGTAACTGGCAAAAGTCCCGCACACATTGGGACGTCCGCGGAGTTTCTCGATGTAATCCGATTTATATGACCCTAAATAACACTAATTACTCGGGTACACTTTTTCACCGGTGGGGCATTTCTCGGAATCACGCCCTTTTTGACCGCACCCATATCGCGACCCCCACTATAAATTATCTCGGCTTCTGATTGAGATACAGACCTCATTTATAATCCAAAATGTGCCTAAGATGCATGTTTATATTAGTGCTATGAAGATACTTAAGGCCTAAGAGACTTAGTTTTTGAGAAATCGCCAAAAATCCGATTTTACTATATTAGCAGTCTCGTGAGTAACAATTATTACACTTATTTCAAGATATCTCCGCTTCTGATTGGAGCTAAGCGCTCATCTTGGGCATTAAAATGGTCAGAATCATCGTATTGAGTGGGGTAGAGCATGGTTTTAAAGTCTTCAGACTTCAGGTTGTTGAGTTATTAGGTCAGATTCCATTTTTTACGCTCTCGCGAGTAGCGATTGATGCACTTATTTCAAGATATCTCAGCTTCTGATTGGAGCTAAGCGCTCACCTTGGGCATTAATACGGTCAGAATCATCACATTGAGTGGGGTAGAGCACGGTTTTAAAGTCTTCAGACTTCAGGTTGTTGAGTTATTAGGTCAGATCTCATTTTTATGCTCTCGCGAGTATAGCGATTGATGCACTTATTTCAAGATATCTCAGCTTCTGATTGGATCTAAGCGCTCATATTGGGCATTAAAACGGTCAGAATCATCACATTGAGTGGGGTAGAGCATGGTTTTAAAGTCTTCAGACTTCAGGTTGTTGAGTTATTAGGTCAGATCCTATTTTTACGCTCTTGCGAGTAGCGATTGATGCACTTATTTCAAGATATCTCAGCTTCTAATTGGAGTTAAACGCTAATCTTGGGCATAAAAATGGTCAGAATCATCACAATGAGTGGGGTAGAGCAAGGTTTTAAAGTCTTCAGACTTCAGTTTGTTGAGTTATTAGGTCAGATCCCATTTTTACGCTCTCGCGAGTAGCGAGTATAGTACGCTCTCGCGAACGGCTTAGTGGCTCAGTTGGTAAATCGGCCTGGCATTTCTCGAGGTACCAGGTTCGATTCCCGACTCTGTCACTAGCTGTGGGGTGATCGTCGTCGACGCTCAGCTAAGGACCCTGAGTGGTCTATGCAACCCCCCCCCCCAGTCCACTCAGCCGAATACTCGAGTAATCGGGTGTGAGGGTTAAATGAAGAGCTGCCCATTGTATTGCAGCAAAGTCTCGGGCGAAGAAAGTATGGTACACACTACCTAAACCTTAACCGTCACTGGCCTAATGTATAATTGAATCCTTCGGCTTCCTGTAATTGGCTGGTTACACTTGTGTAACACTAACAATGTGGTTGTTGGAAAGTCCGAAGTAAAAAAAAGTGTTGAGATTTTATGCACTTATTTTTGATGCATTTATTGATGCACTAATTTCAAGATATTTCAGCTTCTGAGTGGAGATATTGATAAGCGTACATCATGGGCATTACAATAGTAAGATTAAGTAGCATCGAGCACGGTTTTAAAATCTTCAGACTTTAGGTTATTAAATGATTAGGTCAAACCCTATTTTTATGCTCTCGCAAGTATGGTCACTGCATAAAATGAACTTTAATTAATCGCCAGGAAAAAGTTGTTTGCCAAGAAATATCAGTGAAATTTCACTAAAACCTCTAGCCCTAGGAACATGCTTTACCCTACTTAATTTGATTATTCTGACCATTTTAATGCCCATGATAAGCGCTTAGCTTCAATCAGAAGCTGAGATATCTTGTAATAAGTGTGTCAATTCCTACTTGCAAGAGCGTAAAAATATGTTTTAACCTAATAATTCAACAACCTGAAGTCTGAAGACTTTAAAACCATGCTCTACCCCACTCAATGTGATGATTCTGACCGTTTTTGATTCTAATGCCCAAGATGTGCGCTTAGCTCCAATCAGAAGCTGAGATATCTTGAAATAAGTGCATCAATCACTACTCGCAAGAGCGTAAAAATGGGATTTGACCTAATAACTCAACAACCTGAAGTCTGAAGACTTTAAGACCGTGCTCTACCCCACTCAATGTGATGATTCTGACCATTTTTATACCCAAGATTAGCGTTTAACTCCAATTAGAAGCTGAGATATCTTGAAATAAGTGCATCAATCGCTACTCGCAAGAGCGTAAAAATAGGATCTGACCTAATAACTCAACAACCTGAAGTCTGAAGACTTTAAAACCATGCTCTACCCCACTCAATGTGATGATTCTGACCGTTTTAATGCCCAATATGAGCGCTTAGATCCAATCAGAAGCTGAGATATCTTGAAATAAGTGCATCAATCGCTACTCGCGAGAGCATAAAAATGAGATCTGACCTAATAACTCAGCAACCTGAAGTCTGAAGACTTTAAAACCATACTCTACCCCACTCATTGTGATGATTCTGACCATTTTAATGACCAATATGAGCGCTTAGATCCAATTAGAAGCTGAGATATCTTGAAATAAGTGCATCAATCGCTACTCTTGAAAGCATAAAAATGAGATCTGACCTAATAACTCAACAACCTGATGTCTGAAGACTTTAAAACCGTGCTCTACCCCACTCAATGTGATGATTCTGACCGTATTAATGCCCAAGGTGAGCGCTTAGCTCCAATCAGAAGCTGAGATATCTTGAAATAAGTGCATCAATCGCTACTCGTGAGAGCATAAAAATGAGATCTGACCTAATAACTCAACAACCTGATGTCTGAAGACTTTAAAACCGTGCTCTACCCCACTCAATGTGATGATTCTGACCATTTTTATACCCAAGGTGAGCGCTTAGCTCCAATCAGAAGCTGAGATATCTTGAAATAAGTGCACCAATCGCTACTCGCGAGAGCGTAAAAATAGGATCTGACCTAATAACTCAACAACCTGAAGTCTGAAGACTTTAAAACCATGCTCTACCCCACTCAATGTGATGATTCTGACCGTTTTAATGCCCAATATGAGCGCTTAGATCCAATCAGAAGCTGAGATATCTTGAAATAAGTGCATCAATCGCTACTCGCGAGAGCATAAAAATGAGATCTGACCTAATAACTCAGCAACCTGAAGTCTGAAGACTTTAAAACCATACTCTACCCCACTCATTGTGATGATTCTGACCATTTTAATGACCAATATGAGCGCTTAGATCCAATTAGAAGCTGAGATATCTTGAAATAAGTGCATCAATCGCTACTCTTGAAAGCATAAAAATGAGATCTGACCTAATAACTCAACAACCTGATGTCTGAAGACTTTAAAACCGTGCTCTACCCCACTCAATGTGATGATTCTGACCGTATTAATGCCCAAGGTGAGCGCTTAGCTCCAATCAGAAGCTGAGATATCTTGAAATAAGTGCATCAATCGCTACTCGTGAGAGCATAAAAATGAGATCTGACCTAATAACTCAACAACCTGATGTCTGAAGACTTTAAAACCGTGCTCTACCCCACTCAATGTGATGATTCTGACCGCATTAATGCCCAAGGTGAGCGCTTAGCTCCAATCAGAAGCTGAGATATCTTGAAATAAGTGCACCAATCGCTACTCGCGAGAGCGTAAAAAATGGAATCTGACCTAATAACTCAACAACCTGAAGTCTGAAGACTTTAAAACCATGCTCTACCCCACTCAATACGATGATTTTGACCATTTTAATGCCCAAGATGAGCGCTTAGCTCCAATCAGAAGCTGAGATATCTTGAAATAAGTGCACCAATCGCTACTCGCGAGAGCGTAAAAAATGGAATCTGACCTAATAACTCAACAACCTGAAGTCTGAAGACTTTAAAACCATGCTCTACCCCACTCAATACGATGATTTTGACCATTTTAATGCCCAAGATGAGCGCTTAGCTCCAATCAGAAGCTGAGATATCTTGAAATAAGTGTAATAATTGTTACTCACGAGACTGCTAATATAGTAAAATTGGATCTTTGGCGATTTCTCAAAAACTAAGTCTCTTAGGCCTTAAGTATCTTCATAGCACTAATATAAACCTGCATCTTAGGCACATTTTGGTTCATAATTGAGGTCTGTATCTCAATCAGAAGCTGAGATAATTTATGGTGGGGGTCGCGATATGGGTGCGGTCAAAAAGGGCGTGATTCCGAGAAATGCCCCACTGGTGAAAAAGTGTACCCGAGTAATTAGTGTTATTTAGGGTCATATAAATCGGATTACATCGAGAAACTCCGCGGACGTCCCAATGTGTGCGGGACTTTTGCCAGTTACCTGATTAATTCTATTCCTATATGCCAAGCGATATGATAAACTTGATAATGTATTAATAGGTAAAGCATCGACTATTATGAACAACCTTAACATCGCGATATTTACTGTCGTTATTAAATTCTCCTGTCTGGTTTCCGGAGGATTTATAAACAGTGAAGGTAAGACAATTCAATAGTTGTAGAATTTCTAGTAATCAATTGGGGGGGGGGGGGGGGGGGGGGGCGCTTAATTGAGCTCACTATTCAAGAAAGTTGGTCATCATTCTAATTTAATTATAATCATCAGGTACATATAAGATGTTTATAACATTGATCTACTAGTACCAGTTTTTAAAATTGGCGCAGACACCATCACCAGTCTCTGTGCCTCAATAAAATAATATTCCGCAGGTTCGTGTGAAGACAAAACAGGAAGACAGTATGGTGTTGGGGAAACTTGGTACGCAGACTCATGTTTACTATGCAAATGTGTTGCTGACAAGACAGGTAAGGATCTAATTTGTATTCAATTAGCCGGGTAAAGGACTCAGCGCAAAAATTATGGTTAGGTTGAGAAACATTTTTCATACCCCCACCCTGATTTGTCACGCCGAGGTTTGCTTCGTGGTTGTCTTATCCATAGCGAGGGATTTGTATGAGAGAGAGATATAGCACCGGCAGGGACACCTTATAGAATGATTGTACTTGCAGTAGTTTAGCACCTGCATGGTGACTTCCTCTTCGACCAGTGATGAATGTGAATGCGATACTATTGTCTTCCATCTTCCAGTATTTACACCTAATACCTAGTGGGCCGCGTATTTACCATTCACATCTGATCGTCTCAGGTACTCCACTTACAAGTTACAAGTGTAAGTAAACAGTGTAAGTAAAGTGTAGAGTGTAAAGAGTGTAAGTATAGAGTGTCAGTGAAGAGACTCAGCAAGACTCACGTCTCTCATTAAGAGAACCACCCCGATTAGCAACATAATAATAAATGTGCATTACGTTTTATAGTTTCAAAACTTTCCACGTAGTAATTCCTGAACCTGAAAATCTGTTAAAATTTACTGAACTTCAACTGTAAGTGTAAATGTTACTGATTAGTATTCCCGGAACGAAAAATTTTCAAAGCTTTCATAAAAAACATTTTTCTCCACGTTTCATTCAATTTGATCTATTTTGGTAAAATATATATTTTTCGAAATTTTTTCTAAAAACATTTCGCACTGGGCGGAGCTCAGTCTGTCATTTTTGACAGTCTGAAAGATTTTCGACGTTTCTCTAAAAACTGCTTTTCTCCGTTTTTAAATCAATTCCGATCTTCTTCAGAGACAATAAGAATTTTTTGGTTATTAGCTAATTGGGTAATTATCCAATTAACTGATTATCTGAGTGAAAACTGTTTAAGAAAGTGTTTCTCGTTGAACATTTAGACACCCTTAATTAATCTGCAACTTTCTACGATGTCCACAACTAAAGATATTTGACAAACAAGAAATGTGGTAAAAATGGCCATATCATACGTGAGATGTTTAATAAGTTTTTCAGGGCATCTAATGGAACTCTAAAACGTAAAAATTCCTAGAAAGCTTCTCGTGTTAGCAACTCCATTTTTTAGACGGATTTGTCTGTACTAATTATAAATTATGGATCAGATTACATTATAACTGGTTTGTGAACCTGTTGTTTTGACAGGACGAAAAGACGTTGAATGTGACAGATTGGCATGTGACGAGACCAATGAATGTGAACCCGATAAACTGATCAAAACTCCGGATCAGTGCTGCCCAGTCTGTAAGTCCTCGTGAGATTTAGGATTTATTTATTGTTCGAAATATTGCGATTGGATGAATCAGTTCCAAGTTAATGTACATTATCCGCCCTTCTTTATTCATTGTGAAACGGTTTATCTAATTTCTGGAGGGTACAACAATGTACTACTTGTAATCAACATTCAACACATGCTGCCAAACTTTAATGAACAATAAATATAATAAAACAGAGATTTAAACAGACCACACCCTCAGGTACTCAAACCCGTGAACCACATGACGGCTGTTCTGAGGATGTTCCCGCAGTAACTTGTATTTCGGACCCTTGTCTCACAGCAAAATGTGAAAACAATCCCGATGCTCAATGTGTAGTTGATAAATGCGGGGAATGTACGGCGAGGTTCTACGATGTGACGGGAGCCATGATATTAGACTGCCATAACGGTAGGTTATATTTTATTAAATATTTTAAAATTCTTGATCTAACAGCAGCAGGTTTTTTGACTGATGAACGTTATTTGTAATTGTAGTAGATATAGGATGATTTTCGTTTCTATCACATAACTGTTACTTTACAGTAAGAAATACGTTATTGTTAACATAATAATAATAATAATTAGTGGAGGCCACTGGTTAGTTAATAAATAGCGATGCTAGAACTTGGTGGGCGACAAATACTGAGTACTAACCTACTAATACAGTATACACCCACGAGCACCATTGGTTTTGAAAGGGGCAACCTCAAAAAAAAATTAAAAAAATTATAAAAAAAATAAAAAAATAAATAAACAATAAAAAAATAATAAAAAATTAATAACAGTACATTAGATTGTTTAATATAATAAACTGATAATTGATTTACCCCTCAGGTAACACAACAAAGAATGGAACATGTGTAACAGTAGCTGGCAACAAGATATGCAATGTAACACTAGTCACGTGGACACCACGTGTGAGTGAGACAGGAGCAATATTTGCTATGATAGTACCTGTCCTATACCCTGTGGTAGTGTTGCTTATTATTGTTATTGTAGGTTACACCCCCTGGACAGTTATTAAGGACTCGTACAGGAGAAACACTCGTCTATTGTACGCTAAGAAACATTTAGGGAGTGCCCAGTATGAGAAGATTAAAGGAGAGTTGCTTGTGACAGGACTTAAAGTGAAGTTTTTAAACAAAAAAGAGACAGATTACAAAGATATAGAAGATAATTTATTGAAAGAGGAAATAAGTATTAAGGAGATGGAAGTAACAAAAGGTGATGTTAAAGAATCTATAAAACGTAGACAGATTTTCTTCGGATGTATAACTTTACCATTAAGTTGTGCACATAAACTTTTAATTTTACAGCTTATTATTTTACCAATATTTAAAATATTCTGGGATATGGTGGACGTTATCTTTGACACGTATTATTTTTATAAACTAGAGCGTGGTGAGTTAATAGATCCCTTAATTTACAGAAATACTCACGTTAATAATAGTATATTAGGATTTGCATGTTTAGGTGCTATTAAAAGTATAATAGTTGCTTTCTGTTATATTAGTGTTTTGGAGAGTAACAAGAATGAGAGGGAGAAACACTACAATGTGGTGTTATTAACATTGTTAGCTGTATCTATTAAATTATTGTTAGAAGATGCACCTGAGTTAATATTAGAATACTTTTATGTAGATAAATTTATTATAAATAACCCTCCTTGGTTTCTGGTAGCCAAGGACGTTGTTACTGCCTTAATTTATATTTTACCGGTTATAAAGATATTAAAGTCAGGTTTTAATGATTTTAAGTTAATTAAAGAAAGTGAAGAATACGGCAGTTTGGCATATTTATTTTACATTGCAGCAACACTAGCAAGAGGATTTATTAGTTTTGCTATGATATTTAGAATAGTTGGAATGATTATCCAGTACATGGGTAGTACTGTTAATGCAGAATGTTTTGTTGTATTCGATAATGCGTTACAGCAGACACCTTTCGCATTGGGTTGTTTAAACTGGTGCGATTATACAGTACTGGTTCTTATTTGTTTAACTTTATTATCGTCAATACCACCAGTTATCATCTTTATATATTTTTTCGTTAAATAGTAAGTATTTACATTGATTAATAATTATAGTCACGCTAATAATAACGGGCAAGTTTCCATAAACGATATTTTATGATCGGCGCCGATAATCGCTTATTGAGCGCTTTTTCGGCGCTTTTTTAAAAAAAAAACCGTTTACAATCGCTTTTTTTACGATTATAAACGGTTCAAAAAAAATCGCTTATAATCGACTATAATTGGTGTCATAATTCAAAAAAGCGCTTTTTTTGAATTTAAAAGCGCTTATAAGCGCTTTTAAGCGCTTACTAGCGTCGCTGAGCGATTTGAAAGCGGTTTTCCAGTAGGATTGGCGCCAAAAACGGGTGGATAAGCGGTTGGCCGGATAAGCGATTCGTAGGCGCTTTTTTGAACCATTTATAAGCGATTATAAGCGCTTATAATTGGGGTGCAATTTAGCTGTTTGTAAAGCGCAAATAAAGCGCTTATAAGCGCTTTTAAAATTGAGTCAGGAAAACGCTATATTACATCTTATAACCGCTTATAATCGATTATAAGCGTTTTTTTAGAAATCGCTTATTACGGCTAATTCATCGCTATTTCACCGCTTTTACCGCTTTTCCTATCATCCATGGCCAGGTGAGCAGGAATTAAAAAGCGCTTATAAGCGCTTTTTCGATGCTGCCCCTATCCTGGTCGGAACGGGGTAGTGCCCGGAATTTAAAAGCGCTTATAAGCGATTTCTCAATTCCCCTTAACCTGGTTGGAACTTTCATGTGCTTTTCTGAGCAACCTGGGGTGCACCGGCAGAGTCAGGATTTGAAAGCGCTTATAGGCGCTTATGATCGCTTTTCTACCACTTTTCCTATCACCCATGGCATGGGTTGGCAAGAATTATAAAGCGCTTATAAGCGTTTTTCAATGCTGCCCCTTAGCTGGTCGGGACGGGGGAGTGCCCGGAATTTAAAAGCGCTTATAAGCGCTTTTTCAATGCCGCCCCTAACCTCGTCGGAATTTAAAAGCGCTTATAAGCGCAATTCCCCTTAACCTGGTCGGAACTGGAGAGTGCCCACTTGCATGTGCTTTTCTGAGCAACCTGGGGTGCACCGGCAGAGTCAGGATTTAAAAGCGCTTATGATCGCTTTTCTACCACTTTTCCTATCACCCATGGCCTGGTTGGCAAGAATTAGAAAGCGCTTATAAGCGCTTTTTCAATGCTGCCACTAACCTGGTCGGAACGGGGGAGTGCCCGGAATTAAAAAGCGCTCATAAGCGCTTTTTAAATGCTGCCTCTAACCTGGTCGGAACTGGAAATCAGAGTGCCCGCTTATCAGTGCTTTTCTGAGCAACCTGGGGTACACGGCAGAGTCAGGATTTAAAAGCGCTTATGATCGCTTTTCTACCGCTTTTCCTATCACCTATGGCCTGGTTGGCAAGAATTAGAAAGCGCTTATAAGCGCTTTTTCAATGCTGCCACTAACCTGGTCGGAACGGGGGAGTGCCCGGAATTAAAAAGCGCTCATAAGCGCTTTTTAAATGCTGCCCCTAACCTGGTCGGAACTGGAAATCAGAGTGCCCGCTTATAAGTGCTTTTCTGAGCAACCTGGGGTACACGGCAGAGTCAGGATTTAAAAGCGCTTATGATCGCTTTTCTACCGCTTTTCCTATCACCCATGGCCTGGTTGGCAAGAATTAGAAAGCGCTTATAAGCGCTTTTTCAATGCTGCCACTAACCTGGTCGGAACGGGGGAGTGCCCGGAATTAAAAAGCGCTCATTAGCGCTTTTTTAATGCTGCGCTTATAAGCGATTTCTCAATTCCCCTTAACCTGGTCAGAACTGGAAATCAGTGTGCCCGCTTATAGATTAGTTATAAGTGCTTTTCTGTGCAACCTGGGGTCACCGGCAGAATCAGGATTTAAAAGCGCTTATAGGTGCTTATGATCGCTTTTCTACCGCTTCTACTAAATCGCTCGCCCAAATTTTAAGGAAATTCTTGTGAAAAGGCCCTTTGGGGCATGAAAGTGATCTAGATCGGTGTATTTTTGGACGCTGATTCTGAATCACCCCCCATGACGTAGGGTTAAAATGCTTCCCTGGAGAGTTATGTGCAAAAATCCGTTTTGGTCACGTGACAGGCTAGTAATATACGAATTCGATTGTTTAGGGCCCGGGTTAGGGTTAGGCTTGTGGTAAGGGTTATGGTTAACTTCGGGGCTATGGTTAGGGTTAGGGTTGGGATTAGGATTTATGTAAAACCGTTTTGTACGGCTGCAAAACCATAAAAACCAAAGTCACGTGAAATGTTTGGGCGAGCGAATTAGTAAAAGCCGAGTTGGACTCCAATATATGGAACAAATATTTTACGAGTGTCACCCGTCAATTCTCGCAATCACATTCAACATTACGTTTCGCTAGTTTGGTAAAAATTCACCACTAGACTGGGCCTCGCCAAGCTGTGAATTGAAAGATTGACATCGCATTGTGAGTCAATATTTTATTTTGTCTCATGTTAGTTCATGCTGTAAAATGGGCATATCAGCTTGTTAATGTTTACCGATTACCGCGCAATTGTTTATAATTTACTTATGACTATGTCACGACGCGACCTGAATGATACAAATAGACCCAATACCCATGGTTAACAGGTGATACTCTTAATTGACGGATGTTACTCGTCTAAAGTAGCGCGCGCCGCTTTCTTCTCGAAATGCCACGATGGCACGTGCTATGTCGGGCCAGACCAGTAACATGTAACATGCAATGGTCAAGTGATACTCTTAAAATATTTATCACAAATATAAGCAATTAGACCGGCGACAATTAAGTGTCTTGCATGCTTATAAATACGTTTTGCATGGTATAAATACGTCTTGTATGGTTATAAACACACAAACTTATGGTTATAACTATATATAATACAGCCATGAGGGGTGATTCGGAATTGAAGCGTCCTTGTAGGTTAATAACCTACCAGGGCGCGCGCCGAGTTGGACTCGTCGACGTTGACCATTGTTAATGATCTGGCCCGGCGCGCGCTACTTCGTAGCACTTGCCATCGACTTCGAGAAGAAAGCGGCGCGTGCTACTTCGAATAAATTTAGACGAGTAACATCCGTCAATCGTCGACGGTCCTAATCACAGTGCTGGCAAGCACGAGCGGTGTCTTTATTGGGGGTATACTGTGTACCCCCTTTACTATTGTACCCCCTTTACTATTATAACCCCTTTGGTACTCGTCGGAAGCCTCTTTCGTGCACGCGAAGCGTGCACTCCGGCCGGAGGCGGCGGCCGAAGGCCGCCGCCTCCGGCAGGAGTTTTTCAGGCATTAAGACTCATCGGAAGTCGTTCAGCAGATTTATTTTTAGTTCAAAACATTCTAATTTGATGTCAAAGATGACAGGAATAAAAATAGTTATGTTGAGATTTTTAAGAAATTTGCATAAAATAGTAAAAATACTCGCCAGCACTGTTATACGAAATTCGGTAAAAAACCCAAAATCGCCATATTCAGGTGCCCTAAAAACCATGTTAAAATTGAGTTAGAGATCTGAAATTTTTCGGGGCGTCTAGACGTTGACCAAATCGACTGCAAAAAAAGTTTCAGGTTTCAGGAGCATCGGGAAGTGGGTT